GTGGCCTCAGTGTCCCTTTAAATCAGCTGCTCCACCACCTGTTATCATCCCATGAAGTCCTCTATAGTCCAGGCCAGTACCTCCCTGCAGGTAATGTGGGGTGAATCACCTGAGTTAGCAGCTCTGGAAAATCTGCATTTCCCACAATCTTTAAGAGGCTGGCCCTTGGACCACATCTTGAGAAGCAAAGACCAAGGGAAGTTTTGATTTTCCTCATATAATGTGTCAGGTACTCCACTGGGTGCAGGGTCACAAAGGTAAATACAAGAGGCCTGTCTGTGTCTCAGGGAGAGAGACAGACCTAATCTAATGCCAGCACTATAAATGACACTATTACTGGTGCTCCAAATGCTGTAAAGGTGGATGTGAACAGCCCAGATCCTCAGGATGGCTTCCTTGATGATGCTCAGGAGGTATGTTGAGCTGAAACCCAGAACAGGGGCAGGCAAGGTTTTGGGAGTTTCACATGAGCAGAGGCTGGTGATCAGAGCTATAATGGTTTCTGCGATCCAAGAGAAGGTCAACCTGATTGTCAGGCACCAAACTAGGCAGGTTCAATGGCTACTCTTTCCCCCAACAAAAGATGCTGCCTGTGGCCTCCACTCCCCATGTGCTCAAGCTCCCCCCACAAGCCTGAATTCAACTTTCAGGAAGGTCCTGCAGGTACTGAAAGCTGGTGTTTTTAGATGCCTCTCCACTCTTCTGACTACCTGGTGCCTAAACTTGGTTGCTCAGTACCCTCAGATAAAGGCTATTCTGGAGCATCATCAGAAAGGGGCAGAGCAAGAAGTAGGTCCCTGATCCTTCACACAGCCTCATGTTGTGACAGAGCCTGACATCCCACCCCCAGACACTGAGAGGGGAATAGCGTACTTCTTGATGACCCTTTGTGTTTTAGCTTCCCCAATAAAAATCACTTATTTATTTATTTATTTATTTATTTATTTATTTGTTATTTTGTCTTTTGATACAGGGTCTCCCTATATCCCCAGCTGTCCTGGAATTCACTATGCAGACCAGGCTGGCCTTGAACTCACAAAGATCTGCCTGCCTCTGCCTCCCAAGTGCTGGGATCAAAGGCATGTAGCACCACGCCCAGCAATAAAAAAAACACTTCTTAAATTTGCACTTCCCTGAGAGCTAAGGATGTTGAACTTTTTTTAAAAAATTTTATTTTACGTGTACAAGTGTATTGCCTGCATGTATGTGAGTGCACCCGTGTCATGCAATGCCACGGAGGTCAGAAGAGCGCTTTGGATTCCCCTGGAACTGGACTTAAGGACAGTTCCTAGCCACCATGCGGGTGCTGGGAATCGAACCTGGGTCCTCTGCAAGAGCGTTCAGTGCTCTTAACCACTGAGCAATCTCTCCAGCTCCAGGATGTTGAACATTTAAAAAATTTCTTAGCCATTTGTGTTTCATCTTTTGAGAACTCTGTTTAATTCCATGCCCAATTTTTAAATTGATAACTATTTTCTTGGTGTTTGCCTTTTTTAGTTCTTTGCATATTCTAGATACTAGCCCTCTGTCAGATGTATAGCTGGTAAATATATTTCCCATTGTTTAGGCCTCCTCTTCACTCAAATGATAGTGTATTTTGCTGTATAGAAGCTTTTAGTTTCATGAGGTAGCATTTACCAATGGTTGGTCTTAATGTCTGTGCTCTTAGGGTACTGTTGAGAAAGTCCTTTCCTGTGCCTATAAGTTCCTGTGTATTCTTTACTTTCTCCTCTATCAGATTCAGGGCAATATGTCTTATGTTAAGGTCCTTGATTGATTTGGAGTTGAGTTTTGTACAGAGTGAGAGATATGTATCTAGTTTCATTCTTCTACATGCAGATATCCAGTTTGACCAGCACCATTTATTGAAGATGCTTTCTTTTCTCCATGTTATTTTGGGTCCCTTCATCAAAAATTAGGTGGCTGTGTGTGGACTTAAATATGGGTCCTCAATTCTAATCCATTGGTCAATGTGTTTGTTTTTATGCCAGTACCATGCTGTTTTTATTACTATAGCTTCATAGTATAATTTGAAATCAGGAATGATGATGCCTCCAACTCTTCTTGTATTGTTCAAGATTGTTTTTGTTATCCTGGATATTTTTGTGTTTCCATATGAAATTTGAGATTACTTTTTTCAATTTCTATGAAAAATTGTGTTGGAATTTTAATGAAGACTGTATTGAATCTGTAGATAGATTTTGGTAGGATGGTCATTTTCACAATATTAAAACTACTTTGAGATTTCATCTTACTCCAGTCAGAATGGCTAAGATCCAAAAATCAAATGATGAAAAATGCTGGCAAGGATGTGAGAAAAGGGGAACACTTATTCACTGTTAGTGCTAGTAGGGGAGCAAACTTGTGCAGCCACTATGGAAATCAGTGTGGAAGTTCTGCAAAAGGCTATAAACAGATCTACTACATGGTCCAGCCATGCAACTCTTGGACATACACCCAAAGGACTCTATATCCTACTACAAAGATACCTGCTCATCCACATTCATTGCTGCTGTATCCACAATAACCAGGGAATGGAAACAACCTAGATGTCCATTAACTGATAAATGGATAATAAAAATATGGTACATTTACACAATGGCATATTATTCAACTGTTTACAAAAAACAAAATTATGAAATCCACAGGTAAATGGATGGAACTGGAAGCAACCATTCTGGATGCTAGCTTTGAATCTTTAACTATGCATATTTCAATTGGAAAGTCCATAGAGGTCAGGAAGCTAGTAAGGGACATGGAGGGAGATTTGTGGGAAGAGAGACAAAATGGAGTGATATAAAGGAGAAAGGGGGAATAATGGAATAGGAAGGATTAAATGGGGTGGGGAATGGGAGGGCAGGGTAGAGAATGGAGTATGGGGAGGGATAACTAACGATAAAGGCCTTTTGAAAAAGCTATATAAAAGCTTTCTATATAAACTCCTTAAAATATAAGAAGCTTAAACATAAGGAGCTTAAATGGAGCTACCCTAGAATGGAGGATAACACCCTTCCTAGACACCACAAGCGAAGAAACAAAAAGCCGGATGCTAGCAATAAGATCCATCTTTTGGAGCTGTTGATCATATGGAGTCCCATAGATAGACCCTCAAACAGAACTGACTGTTGTCATTGCTCTTAGTTTGCCCTCTAGAACTTGACAGTAAGACTCTATTGCCGAAGACTGCATATGTGAGTTGTAGAACAAACATGAAATAATCAAGTTGGTGTTAACCTTGAAGTTTCATCTCTACTGGCTGCTTTTCATATGTTGAAAGGTGCTATGCATGCGACTGGAGGAGAAAAGTAATAGTCAGTCTTACCCAGCTGTGAACCCTGTGAGCTACAACAACTGGCCTGGCAAGATTTGCCCACTGATGCAATAGTGGCACAAATATGGGAGTAAGCAACTACTTTCTTGTTGGACCTAAGGCCTACTTAACAAGCTGGAGGGTATGCCTGGCACTTTTATCAAGACCAAGAACCTGTGACTAGACAGGCCACAGGCCACAGAGAAGAATCTACTCCTATTATTCTGCTAAATAGACATAGGACTAAGCTGACTCCTGATAACGTTTGTTTCACCCCTGATTAGTGCATCACTCAGCTTTTACCAAAGGAGCTTCTTCTTGCAGCATATGGTGATTAACACAGAAAGACTCACAGCTGGTCAACCTATAGAGAATAAGAGGCCACGGAGTGCTCAACCCTAAAGGGGACACCTGTATCATACCTTCTCCTCCCAGAGCTCAGGGATCATTGGGGAAGAGGAGGCAGAAAGATTCTAAGAGCAAGAGGTTGTGGATAAGGAAACTCTGTTTTCTACATAACAGGGCAATTGTACATATGAACCCACAATGCTTGCAATGGCACATACAAGACCTACACAAACCCAAGCCAGACAATAACCTAGCATGGAGGGGGCAGGTGGGCAAGAAGTCCCAGCCCCGACTAAGAAGCTAGTGGTAATTGATAGTTGCTGGGAGAGGGGGAGTTAATTGTCTTTAAAGAGTGTGATGCAGGGTGGGCTGAGTGGGCTCCAGGGGACATATCCACATCCAAGAGCATTTGGGGAACACAGATTAGACTCAATAAGCCTTAAAAAAAATAGAGTACAAGAAGCAGGGAGAGGGGTAGATCTGAGGGGAGATGGGGAAGGATTCTGAATATGATCAAAATACATTGTGTGACATTCTCAAAGAATCAATAAAAAACATTTTTAATTGATTTTAAAAAAAAGAGAGAGATTTCACTATGTTACCTAGGGTGGTTTCAAACTAATGAGTTCAAATCACCCTTCTGTCTCAGCTTCTCACGTAGCTGAGATGCTAGTTACACAGCCTTGTGCATGGCTAGGACCCACTTCATGTCCTTGAATGCCATATAATACTGTATAATCTTCCTTTATGCCGGGTAATGTGAAGATGCTGTGGATTCATGGTCAGACTCAGAGAAAGGGCCATAAGAAGTTTACTTGCCCAGTGACAGCCAAGGGCTCCTAGGATAGCAGAAGCTGCTCTTGGTGAGTTCAGGGAAGAAAGAGTGGAGCATGTCAGAGCAGAGGGAAAAGCCTTCTGCCCAATGCTCCCATAAACATTTGCACGTACATATACACACATTCATGTCACCATCATCAGACTCTTGTGGGCAGACAATAGGGACCATGCCTGAGGGAGCCAGAAGCAGGAAACCACTGAGCATGTGCAGCCCCTCCACCCCCACCCAGCACTATTACTTAAAGATACAGAGGGATACTGCAGCTATGAGTGACCATAACTGTAACTGTGACACTTAATCCTTTGCGCTTCACCAGGCATTGAGCAGGCAGCAGTCCCAAGAACAGCTCCAAGCTGAATCTACACTGAACCTAAGAACAGGCAGCAGGTAGACCAGGTGGCGGTGCCAAGGATGGAAGAAAGTCGGGAGGCTGGGCGCAAAGTCCTGAGCTCTCCATGCCTTTGACTTCTCTGTAGGCCTAAGCAAGAACCATACTGCCTCATGATGAACTCCCCTTCAGAGCCAAGAGTCCCACCAGGCCTAGCCCAGAAGCCCAGCTTCATGGTCACCCCAGTTTTACCTAACCAGTGGATCAGCTTTCAGAAAAATGTCTCTGTCAGCATCCAGCTTCCACCCGCCAGCCCCACGGTAAGCCTGGGTGCATGTACATACATGGAGCCTCCCTTCCCCAGCTCCCACCCTCCTCCTGCTTTGACAGGGAGATAGAAAATGTTAGAGCTCTGCTAAGGGACCTTGGGCATATCACTGGGCTGCTCTGAGCCTTCCCTATACAAACTGGCTGAGAGAGTAGGGTGCAGGCAATATCCTCTGCAGAGAGCACTGGAGGGTCAGAAAGGCTGACCTGCCCTTGGTGGCATCTACTCCTTTCAGCAGTTGCCTAAAGAGGAAGGCATACCCTGGGCTTCTGGATTTGTCCAGGCTAGAGTAGGACTGGCCCTAAATCCTTTTCTAGTAGCCTCACAGGGCAATGATCTCCCAGTAATGACCCCTTAGGAGCACACAGGGGCTTGTGCACATAGGGACTTAGGGTTAAGTTTGGGAAAACCTGCTTTTTCCCCTGTCTTGAGAGATTACACCTGACTTTCCCTGCTTGCCTTATTGGCGACCACTCTTCCTTTTGGGGAATATCTGAAGGTGATGGAGAATGAGGTGATGCTCTCCCTTTTTTCTCTCTTTCTCTTTCCACAGGCTACTGGAGCTCAGGCTGCTTCCTGGGTCCCCTTTCCCACGGTCGATGTCCCAGTCCATGCTCACTATACCCTGGGCACAGTGATCCTGCTGGTGGGGCTCACGGGGATGCTGGGCAATCTGATAGTCATCTATACCTTCTGCAGGTGCCTGGCTGGTGGGGCTGGACCGAAGGCATTGTGGGTGGCTAGACTTGCAGACAGGGCAGAATGCAAGAGCAGAAGCATCACCCAGCTCTGCCCAGGGCACTTCTGAGGATGAACAGAGAAGCCAGGACCCTACCTTCTATAGTGTCAGGGCCAGGTCTTAACCTTCAAGCTTAGGAAAAGGAAAAGATGGTCCAGGGAAGCTTGAATGGCAAATGCCCATTGGGCCCTAGGCACATCCTCTGTGGAGGGCAGATACCCCTAGGTATCTGTCAGGTGTCTGTCTATTCTGCCATGCTCTAAGTTGACCTCCATCATCTTCTGCCCCGGGGGCATCCTCTCTCTACTTTGAAGAGCATCTTTGGGTCCTGAGTCCTCAAACTCCTCAGAAACCATTCCTAGTAATCACCCTGGTTTCCCTTCTCACCTAACCTGCTGGGTAGCTCATGTCTGAGACAAGTAGGTGGGTCAAGGAGTGAGCACAGACTTCAGACTCTGCCACAGACTAGGCAAAGGACTAAGCCAGTCACTTATCCTCCTTGAATTCACTTCTCTTCTCTGCAAAATGGAATTGTGACTTTCTCCATGAAGTACAGGTGATGAGTAAATAAGCTCCTGTATGTGCATTGCTTGGCAAATGAACCTTGACCTTGCCACTCACTAAATTTTGTGAGTGGGAGCAAGTCACTTCCTGAGGGAAGGTCTTGGTGCTCTCATCTGAAAAATGGGAACCATGATAGATATAAAGATGGGTCTGACAGATGAGGTTTGTGAAGCTACCTGTCCCATGGTCATAGTAATCAGGTCTTGGGCCCTTTGCCACCTCAAGGATGAAGGCTGCAGAGACAGGTGTGCTGGACTGGGCTGGGCCAGGACAAGCTGGACAGTGGAAGGAGGAGGTGGAGTTGGAAGAGGAAGAGAAAGAGAAGGAGGAGGAGGAAGAGGAGGGGGAAGAAGGAGGCATGAGAAACCTGTGGGACGGCTGTTGGGGCATGTGTGTGGGATTCCACAGGGAGCTACATAAACCCAGAGGGAAGCTACTGGGAGACTGGGACAGGGGAGGTTTGTCCAAGGAGAGAGTGAGTCACACAGAGGGAATCCTGAGGGTGAGAGGAGGAAAGGGATGTGGTCCAAGAACTGGCCTCCTGGGCAGGACAGCGTGTTTTGGAGACATTGCTCCTCAATTAATTCTGAGGAACCCACAGTGGGGGATCCCTCAGCCCATAGTGCTGGTGGTGCCTGCTAGACTGAGGGGCAGGTCCGTGGCGACCCAACTTGTGTGGACGCATGTATGTGTAGGTGTGAGTGTGTGTATACACAGCATGTCTATGTGCACATATACACGTAATACATGTGTGTATGTGTGTGTGCATATGTAGCTGAGAATGGGGGGAGCCCCCCACAGCTCCAGAGGCATTAGGAAGCACTCTCTAACTGCCTTTGACCCTTGCAGGAGCAGAGGCCTTCGGACACGAGCGAACATGTTCACCGTCAACCTTGCAGTCAGTGACTTCCTCATGTCCTTCACTCAGGCCCCTGTCTTCTTTGCCAGCAGTCTCTATAAGCGGTGGCTCTTTGGGGAGGCAGGTAGACACTTGGAGCTCCCTTTTTTCAGAGGGAGAGGGCTTGAAAGGGTGATGCCACAGTGGAGGGTGGCCCAGATGAGGCAATTTTCTCTTGCTGGGCACAGTGGGAACTACCCTGAATCTCATGAGTAAGTGAAGAAGGAAGATGGTGTTTTGTTCTTGAGGCCTCTGCCAGCTTGACCAGATATGGCAAGTGGGCAGGGTAGAGACACAGCTTGGGCCTACTTTGCTGCTAGGCAGGAAAGGAGCTGAGTTTGCCTCATCCTCAGGCTCACCCTCCCCTTGGGTACCTGGAAAGCTCCCAGGGACTTAGGGAAGGGGATGTACCCACAGGCTGCGAGTTCTATGCCTTCTGTGGGGCTGTCTCTGGCATCACCTCCATGACCACCCTGACTGCCATAGCCCTGGACCGCTACCTGGTGATCACACGCCCACTGGCCACCATTGGGGTGGCATCCAAGAGGCGGACAGCACTTGTCCTGTTGGGTGTCTGGCTCTATGCCCTGGCCTGGAGTCTGCCCCCCTTCTTTGGCTGGAGTAAGTGAGCTGGTGGAATTAGGGGAGGGGCGCATAGACTGAGAGGGGTAGGGGAGGTAGGTGAACCTGGGTTGGCTGACTGCTAGGGGACATATGGACCACTTAGGCCTCAAGTCAGGTGGGCATTCAGGGGCATCACTAACAATGGGGAGGTTTGGAGTACTTTGACAGGGACTAGAGGATCAGCCAGGTAGCTTGTTGTCAATTATAGGGGTTATTGGGTGGGGTCAAGCGAAGCTTAGCTGATACTGAGTTTGCAGTGAGTCAGACTAGCAAGGGACTGGAGGTGTGAGGCCTCATCAGGCAGGAGGACAGCCCTGAAGCTACAGAGGGGCTGATATAATACTAGACTGATGCCCCTTTTAGAAGCAGCTTGGATATCTCCCTCCACATCTCCCAACTGCCACAGGCTTCCTCACTCATGGCCTCAGTAGGTTATGCTTGGGAACCCTGAACCCCGTATATGAAGCCCCTGCTAGACAAGGCTAGGCAGTGCTGCAGTGAAGGCTGAGTACCTGTTCCCCGGCTCCCAGGTGCCTACGTGCCTGAGGGGCTGCTGACCTCCTGCTCCTGGGACTACATGACCTTCACACCCTCAGTGCGTGCCTACACCATGCTGCTCTTCTGCTTCGTGTTCTTCCTTCCCCTGCTCATCATCATCTTCTGCTACATCTTTATCTTCAAAGCCATCCGAGAGACAGGCCGGTGGGTGCCCTGTGTAAAGCAGATCTAAAAAGCGCCAGAGCATGCCCAACTCCAGGCAGGTAAAGACAAGTGAGTGCATGCACTTACAGGGTGCCTAGGAAAATTCCTGGAGATAAGGTCCTCTGAGCAGGGGTTAGAGAAGACACTCCTGGCAGAACCATAAAAGGGCAGCTGAGGCTCAGTGCAATGAGGATTTTCTGGACGTCAAGGATGCCTGTGTGGGCAAGGACGATCCTTCTTATGTGTCCCCAAAGATGGTCCAGGGAGGCACCCAACAATAGTTGTACTCACTTTAACATAAATGTATCCCTACTAGGGCCTGTGAGGGCTGTGGTGAGTCCCCTCAGCGGCGGCGACAGTGGCAGCGGCTGCAGAATGAGTGGAAGATGGCCAAGGTCGCACTGCTGGTCATCTTCCTCTTTGTGCTCTCCTGGGCCCCCTACTCCACAGTGGCCCTTGTGGCCTTTGCTGGGTGAGCAGGGGCTAAGGAGCTGGTACAGGGGCTGAAGGCATAGGACCAGGTAGCCTCTTCCTCCAGCCTGACCTGAGCCAGCCAGCCTGACACCCCAAGTCTAGTTCTACAGCCTTGTACTGTCCCTGTGTGACATGCCTTACCCCAGGGGATCTTGCCCAGTATCTGGAGGCTTCAGGGAGCCTCTGGGTTATCTACAGTTGCGCCTGGGGACCTTCCATCTCCTTGAAATCATTCAGCTATCCCTGAGGTTCCTGTTCACTCTTTGCCTGAGCTGTAGGCATGCAGCCAGGACTGTTGTCACCTAGAAATGATCCCTAAGAGTGTCTCTCTAGCATTCTGTGGATAGAGGCTAGAGACTATAGTACTTCCCACAGCATGGGCAGGGGATAGACTTCCAAGGCACTTTTCTGACAGTGAGAGTTATGGTAAGTATCCTGGACTATTTAGGTACCAATTTTCTCAAGTGGTAATAGTGCAATCTCCTCTAGGGGCCTACCATGAGTTTCTCTAAGGCATCCAGGGAAGCAGTGTGCATTGGGTGGAGTGAGAATTAGCATTGCATGTAGAATCTAGGGCTGAAGTCAGCTGAGGGGTATGGAGAGATATTTCCAGAGGTACAGGCTCTAAGGGACAGTGGGACTTAGCCACCCCTGCTCCCACAGCCTGGCACATCTTTCTCCTTGAACCCTACCCTCAACTATCCCTGGTTCCCTTCTTTGTTATCTTAAACCAGAACTCCCCATGGCACTGCCATTCTTTCCCTATGGGGCTGACTTGGCCATGTTGGTTTTTGCTGGGTTAGGATTTGAGTGTTGGCAGGGTTAGGACCCGAGGAAGTTTTAAGGGTAAGAGTCAATGGGGGGGTGTGACTAAGGGACCCCATAATCTTTTCTGTCCTAGGTACTCGCACATTCTGACGCCCTACATGAACTCAGTGCCAGCTGTCATCGCCAAGGCTTCTGCCATCCACAATCCCATCATTTATGCCATCACTCACCCCAAGTACAGGTGCCACCTCTTCCAGACCTCCCAACACACATAGAGGCAAGGAGGGTCTGGGCCTGCAGATGAGGATAGAGGCCAGCTCTCTCTCCGATCTCTTACATATGTATGTGGGAGTCATGAATACTTTGGAGCAGCTAGTGACACTGGGTAGGATCTGGAGTTGACATGATGCCTCTTCTGCCCCAGCATCCTACAAGGAATATCATGGCTTCCTGAGTGGAAGCCAGGTCTAACTACAGAGCTGTGCCATAAGGTAGCGAGGGCAACTGATTAGCAGTACTTCCTGGGCAAAGCCAAACCCCCCAGGAAGTGACATCCTGCAAAGACCCCAGCAGGGAGTGGTTGCCCCCACAATGGCCCTGGCAGCATCCTGAGGTAGTGTGAACAGATTCATGCTAACAAAGCCCTACTTTGGGCCCCCATCACTGCTTTTAAACCTGGTGGTGTCAAATTCTTGGTACTTCCCCAATGGCCTCAATCAATCCAGCCCAGAGTTCTCAAGAGTACCCATAGGACCCATTCCTAGAGATATTGCCTGCGTCAAGTACGTGAGTACTGGAAGCAATGTCCGCTTGCTTTTGAAGCAAGGCTGTCCCTCTACTTCTACCACCCCAGGATCTGTTGCTTATCCCAGCAGCCCTATAAACCTATCAGTCTCCTTCACCCAGTCTTTTTGTCCCCATCATCACATCTGTCTGTATACCACTCTAGCCCTGTATCAGTCTGTTCCTTCCCTCTCCTTTCCATGTCCTTTTGCCCTAACCAGATACATGACTCCTGCAGGCTAGCCATCTCCCAGCACCTGCCCTGCCTGGGGGTGCTGATAGGCGTGTCAAGCCAGCGCAGTCACCCCTCCCTCAGCTACCGTTCTACTCACCGCTCCACACTGAGCAGCCAGGCCTCTGACCTCAGCTGGATCTCTGGACGGAAGCGGCAAGAGTCCCTGGGCTCTGAGAGTGAGGTGGTAAGGATGCTGAGTGCCCTCATCAGTTGGCACCTCGCCATCCCTTCCCCAATCAGCCCTAGGGAACTGGATCTGGCATGGCCACCACTGAGATCGGGGGACACTCAGCACCCCCAACCTCTAGTGTATCATTCTCTGTGACAAGCAAGAATACTGGGAATGCAGAGAAGATTGGATGGCAGGAGGTTACCCAACAGCAGATCCAGTCTAAACGTGGTCCTTCCAAGTCAAGATCACTTCTTTTTTCCATGGCAAGAGCTGGCCCAGGGCCTGTATTCCTTAGCACTAAGCTACCACCTCACAGGAGGAACTGCAGGATGCAGGGAAAGAAGGAACGCTAGCCTGGGTTCAGACCTGGCTTCAAACCTCTGACCACCACACTCTCACTTGTATTTGGACAAGTTGCTTATTCCTCCATCTCCATGTCCTTTAAAAGGAGAATAGTTATCTCTACACCCAACACTGATAGGGGATTCAGGGGGAGCCATGGGTACTTCATAGTTGTTCCCAGTCCTCGGTTGGGACTCTAATCTTCCCAGAGCTTGGAGCTGTGGTGCTCCAAGTGTGCCCAGGAGAGCTTCTTGTATCATGGACTCCTGTCCCTGGCCACAGTCAGGCTTCTCTATCTTTCTCTCTAAGGAGCCCCACTGAGAACCAGCATGATTGGACTGGCCAGTTCTCTTCCAAAGTTCTATCCCAGAGGTTTTCTTTTAAGCTATAGAGCTGTGGAAAACAAGGACCCAGTCTCATTTGTTACCAGAGGCCTAGACTGCCATGGCCACCCATCTAAACGCCTGCTTAATCAGGTGTGTATGCAGCTACAAGTGAATATACTTTTCTAGGCTTTGGTGACCACAACTTTGCAAATGGTGTCATGGTCCCCTTCCATAAATACTTATATGGAGGTTGGAGAATGGCATGATGGGGGAGGAAGCAGGATATGTTGTAGGTAAGTTGTCCCTGTTACCTCAAAGTTACTCTCCTGTTTCCCTAGGGCTGGACAGATACAGAAGTAACAGCTGCATGGGGAGTTGCCCAGGAGGCAAGTGGATGGTCCCCTTACCGTCATAGCCTGGAAGATGGGGAAGTCAAGGCTTCTCCTAGCCCCCAGGGACAGGAAGCCAAGACTTCTAGGAAGGTGACTGGGCCTAGTACCTGCCAATCTGTAAAGGGGCGGGAAGGAGGCACAAGCAGCCTAAGGAATGGCCCATGCACCATACACCCAGCCTTTGTTTATCTGCCTAGATGTCTCTGTGACCCCCAAACATCATCCTGAGCAAGGCTTGAGTATGATCTGTGACTGTTTGAGGTGGTGGTGGTGGGGAATGTCTGCATGTGACTGTGTGATTCTGCATACATGAAGTGTTGTTGGCTATATTGTGTCATGACATATGTACGGTATGGGTATAATTGTGTGTGCTCATGAAGATAATTGGTTTGCAGTAGACATAGCACAACTCCTGTGCTCATGTGCCAGGTATATGCTCTCTGTCACTGTGACATATCAGGATTCACAGCTAAGTGCCCCCCGAGCCCTGACTCCTGACCCTTCATCTGCTCTATATGAATGAATGGCATACACTTCTCTGTGTGATTTTGATGCTGTACATACCTGGTGAGAGGGGGCTGCAAGCTGTGTATGTGCTCACCGTGAATGCCCTGAGCTCAGGATGTCACCCAGAATACTTGTGGCTATTAAAAGAAGGCCAGCTGTCAGCCCAAGTGCCTATGGAACGGAATGTCAATGGTGATTAGAGAAGGCCATATTCTGGAACGCTGGAAATGCCATGAGCACAGGCACCCAGGCAGCCCCGCCCCCTCAGCTGACAGCTTCTCATCCTGCCCTCCTCTCACTCTCTCACAGTAGCCCCCATCAGCCACTGAATGTTCTGGGGCTTCCCCAGTCACCGGCACAACAGACACATCTTGTTTTTCTTCCCTCGTGCTGCTTCCCTGTGTGCACACGAGAGGAGCCAGGGGCTGCTCCTGTAGATGGGAAGCCTCTGTTCCCCCTATGCAGTGTATCCAGGCATTATGCATGGCCACAGAGGCCAGGGCAGAAGCCTGGCAGTGACCCCTCGGCTAGCCAGGAAATGGTTGAAGACACAGTGCCTATCTTGGAGGGAGGAAAGCCAGGAGGGGTGTTGGGCAGGGAGGGTCAACCTTCAACAGTCACCAAACACGGGTGATAAGCACTGTTATTAAGTTATGAGCACGCAGAGGCAAGTTCCTGAGGCTCCCCAGGGGACAGTGAAGTGGAGATCTCCAGGCAACCTGGGGGAGGGTTTGAAAGGTCTAAGTGAATGTCCCATGTGAGCACTATGGGCTCAGGAGTGGGAACTCAGTGTCCTGTAACAGGATTTGTGTGTGTGTGTGTGTGTGTGTGTGTGTGTGTGTGTGTGTGTGTGTGTGTGTGACTCTGGGAGCATCCAAAGGGACCCTGGGGATGATGTCGGGGATGTACAAACAAGATGGGTAAGAAGTTGAAGGAGCAATGGCCTAGGGGTTCTCCAGATCAAGTCTCCAGATATGACCCTGAGGAGCCAGAAAGGGGGTTGGTCACTTTTCAGTGTAGGTGGGTCATTCTGATGTACCCCAGGAAGGATGCTAAGTAAAGTAAGCCTGTAGAGTGAACTTCCGGAGGAAGCTGGTGCTGCAGAAGAGTAACTAGGATAAAGGGGTATCAAGGGAAAGATGACTGGAGGGCAGGCATGAAGAGTGTGAATCCCAGGAATCCAGGAGCCTAGGGACATCGTAGGGGTCATTCTGAAGACAGTCTAAGATTGCTAGCTTCTTCTTTGAGATGGGTCCTTGAGAAGGCCCATTCCCAACCTTGACGACAGCCTGGCCCTTCTACACTGCTGCCTTCACCTGTCAATGTCCCCAAGCTGAAGGGTCATTGAGAGACTGCCCCTGTAGAACACTCCTCTGGATAAATAGATGTGTGCTGTTTGTTTTCAGACCAAAGGGCAGCTCCCCAGCCTCAACCTCAGGATGTAGGATGCCCACTGGTTCTCCCTTTCTTCTGGGACTTGTCCAGCCCCATTACCACTTACATATATGGATGCAGGATAATCTCACAAGCCTGTAGGCTTTGAAGATGGCCCTGTCACCTGTGCTGCACTGGATTCACAGCCCCAATGACTTCCTGTACCACAAAACTACTGCCCTGAAGCACAGTCCACAATACTAAGCTCAGCAGCCACACCTGGGCTTAGCCTGAAGCATGGATTCCCAGGCTCTCCTGCTTTACTTCCAGCAGCTCCTATCACCTCTCCTCAGATGCTGTATGCTGCAATTGTCCAGGCGATGACAATGGCAATGGCACCGGGGAATACACTATGAGCCAAGCATCTTAGCCATCCTATGTGCCAGGCTGGACAGCTCATTGGCTCATGAAGGTCAGCCCTGCATCTCCTGCTGCCAGTGGACAGAGCTGGACACAGACTTGACTTTATGCACTAGAAATAACCTCTTCACCTCCAGCTCCTCGGTACCATTCCCACTGCAGCACACATATACATGGGCAGTGGTGGGTACATAGGTACCTATTTGCATGTACACAAAACACATATGTGCATACCCTGCCTCTGTGGTTTGTTTCATATCTGTGGTCTAAGTTCTTTACAGATTATGTAACTCTGATGGGGCACAAGAAAATAAAAGACATGGTGTGATAAACATGGTGTCTATCAGTGCTTCAGTGGAAGAGAGAACCAGGCTTGGTCTTAAAGCTTCCGTCAGCTTCTTCCTTTTTTCCCTTGCTCTCCAGCTTGGGACTTTCCTGAAAGACCATCTCAAGCTGTGGGGGATCAAAGCAGAAGAGGGACAAAGACCAGTGTGTCCCATCTGCTCCTCCCCAATGAGATGCAGAGGTCTGCCTAGCCTGCCTAGCCCATGGGTACCAGCTGCTCTCCAGCTGGCTTCTGGTCTCCCAAGGGAGGCAGATGGAGGGAGGTTGGCCTTCCCCTTTAAGAGTATCCTCCTGTTACCCCTCCCTTTTCCAGAAGGAAACATCAGGCAGGGCCAGAGTCCAGAAAAAGAACCTACAGCTCCAGGTATAACCTTGCCTGGGCTCCTAGTGCAAGATCGGCCCTTTCCTTCCCCCTCACTGGTTGTGTAATGCTGCTGGGTCCTCCCCAGCTGGGCAGAACAGACAGTCTAAGAAAGGGGACAGACTTGAGTTAGAAATGAATGGCATGGGGCATGGGATAGGATGAGAGAGAGATGGGGGACTGGCCTCCAGTCCAGGACAGGTGGGGTTTCATGGTACAGGAATGAAGAGGTGTTGAGACAGGGAAAGAATGCAAGTCCCTCCCTGGCTTCGTCTACTTGCTATTTTTGTGCCTTTGGGCAAATTACCAAACAACACTGTAATATGGGCACTCCTGCCACACACCTTTTGTGTGCTAGGTCCAGGGTATGAGGCTGGAGTTCTGGCAGCTAGGAAATTACTCACACCCAGGCCTGCAGAGTCCTCTAGGCCTAGCATCCTGGAGGTTAGCATCCTCCAGAGGCTAACAAGCCACCAGCTCATCGTGTTCCCAGGGCCTTAGTTTTCCCAACTAGGATGCCAGTGTGACCTCTGTCTGTCTCTAGACCATATGAGATTTGACATCTCTCTTAGTAGAGGGCTTCTAGGGGCATCTTAACCCAAAAGCCATACCAGTAGGAGTCCCAAGGGGCCAAGGCCCCCACCCAGAACATGCTATCTCTGAGGTATGGATTGAACATGCATCACATTTCCCCTCCCTGCCCCTTTTGGCCCTGTGTCCTAGCAGCTGAGCAAATGGCATCTCCTCCCTACCCCCTGCCATTCCTGCGCAAAGGGCACGGGGCCTGGCGTGCGATGCTGGCAGCTGGAGCTTTCCATGTGGCTGTCAAGTTTTCCAGGGCACAAATGAGACAGGAGAGCCAGGAATAACCGACTGGGCCCCAGAGGGTCTGGAGGGGTGGGCCTATCCCAGACCTGCATTTGAGACCTTTGTCTTGTGGGTCAGACAGTTCCCCTCACCTGGAGCCAGGGCTTTGGTAAATGTTTGTAGCAACTAGGAGCCCATTATCTGACATGAATCCCATTGGAAGAGTCCAGGCTCTAGTGGGTTTATTCTCTGTGTGACGTTGGAGAATTTAATTTCCCTGAGCCTTGGCTCTTACAGGCCAAAGTGGCAGCCTCTTAGGACCCTGTTGAAACTGGTGTGAAGAGCCTCATGCTGAACTTGGCCTTGCTTGAGGTGTTGGTGTTACAGGATCATTTTTACGGACAACAGGGCCAAGCCCCAGTCTTCTGAGATGACCCACCAGAGGCTGAGTTCAGTCCTAGGCACCACAGGGCCTTCAGTAGGTAATACATTGCCTCATGGTTCTTATCAGGAGTACAGAGCAACAAAACCCCTGCACAAAGGAGGGCCTAGGTAGTCCCACTAAGCAGAGGAAAGGTGCATAGGTTCTGCAGAGGGCACAAGGGAGGCCAGTGCTCCCTACCTGCCCCCTGGTTGGGGGGATGGCCTGTGGGTGCCTGACACCCCTCCCCAGGGGCTATATTAGCCATGTGAGTCATGGTGGACTGGCTGGGAGGCCACGGGCAGGCGGGCCCAGTGTAGGGTTACAGTCCATTTATGGGCGCAGCAAGGGCAGATATCAGTGTCGATGGCATTCACTCCCAGCTATTCTTAGGAGCCTCCCAGGAGCTCCACGCAGCCTGGCCAGGCAAGGAACAGAGCAGGCAAGGCCAAGGGTTGGGGGTCTGGGCCAGGGGAGAGGTATGGGCTGGGAATGTGGAGTCCTATCACCTGACTCTTTCTACCCTTTGTCTTCAGAGGCAGCTGCAGTCAGCACCAGCATGTCTTACAGTGTAACCCTGACGGGCCCTGGGCCCTGGGGCTTCCGACTACAGGGAGGCAAGGACTTCAACATGCCCCTCACTATCTCCCGGGTGAGTACACACTGCCTATAACCTCATTCCCAAAGGGGCAGGGCATTCTCAGAAGAGGGTGTGTTCATGTCCATTTATCTGTCAGCTTGTCTGTCTGTCCTCCTCAAGGCTCTTGGAAAGCAGAGCCTGTCCTGTTCCCAGTCTGAAGTCTGGGACTGGACTGTTCTCCTGGTCTTGGTTACCTTTGAATTTTCTCACTTAAGCTTGTCCCCTGGATTTTGCTCAACTGAGCAAGATGTCATGGGCAAGTGGCTGGGGTTTTGAGCAGAGGAGGAGATGCTGAATTTGCAGGGTGGGCCGGCAGGTAGACAGAGAGTGCAGTGCCTTCCTAAGCCATCCCTAGCAGGGTAGGCTTGGTGTATCCTGAAGCCTGGAGTCCCTCCATGGAAGCAGGCAACTGCTTTGGGAAAAGAGCATTCCTAGTACAGCGAAGGCAGGTGACAAGCAGGTGACCAGAGGCAGATGGACAGATCTGTCCCTGCTGCCCTCCTATCATGATAAGGGCCTGGGCTGAACTAGTTGCTGGCATCCAGTACTTGCTCCATCCCAGATACCAGCCCCTCCTCCCTCTGTAGCACTGGGTCTGCCAGGGACCCCACACTAGCCAGCTCCTCGGCTGGGCCTCCTTCTTCACTTGAGTCCAAGGCTGCTTATTTCACATGTTTGCCCTTGTGCAGCTGTGGAAATGGTCCCTGGGTTCGACATCACTTGTGGGAAACAGCACTGCTCAGTGGAGATGGCACAGAGCAGCAAAGGTTGCAAAGGCCACTTTGGTCTGGCTTGAGAAACAGAGGCTCAGAGAGGCCTCAAAGCAGACAGGCTTGGGAGGAAAAGGGAGAAGGGCCTCAGCACCTAGGCCTGTAGTTAGCTGGTCAATTGTTTGTCAGATAAGAGCACCCCGCCCTTCAGTTTGGCACTGAAGGCCCCAAGGCTTAGGGGGACTGAGAGACACATGAGGAGCATCTTGCTTAGTGGCTGAGCCCCATGGCAGTGCTGATTTACCCTTGAGGGGCAGGGTTAGGCCCCAGGATGCCACTGCAGAATGTGAGTGTGGGGGCAGGTATGTCTGAGTTGCCTCCCACTAGGGCTAGGGGGAGGGCAGCTTCTTCCCCAGGGCAGCAGAGACTTGCCTTGAGCTTGAAGGTAGCACTCAGTGGTTGGTAAGGAAGCCTAAAAAGTACTTAGGATGAGGCAGGGGCCAATGCACCCACCAGAGATGCTGTCTTGGTCCTAGTACCTGGCATGGGTGTTTGGGAAAGCCTTTGGGGAAAGGCCTTGCCCTGTACCCTTCAGTTGCAGATCTGGTATCTCTGCCCTCCAGACCCACTGCCCTGAAAACCACAGGGCTCCCTATTAAAAGGATACCCCATACTGTCTACACCTTGCTTGATGATGTGGTAATTTGTGGGCATCTGAGCCCAGTGACTACCCTAACCCAGGCTCTGCATAGTCCCATCCCTGTGGTTACAGATTTCTTCCATGTATAAGCTATGGTCTCCCCCCTCCCCCTTATGTACTCTCTTACCTCTCATGCCTAGGACTGAGCCCAAATCTCCCCCAGCCCACCATCCCTAAGGCTTGATGCTGGTACTCCTTGCTCTGTCCTAAGGGTTCAAATTCATTTCCAGGCTCAGTGGCACCCAGGAAAGCCAATGACCTCACTCAGGACCTATGCACCACCTAGCCCTGGGTGACCAGGGGCTTAAATGGCAGCACAGAGACTTTAAGCTAGACAGCAGGAAGAATGTCGTCACTCTGAGAGGGGGTATGTTAGGATGTGTGGGACCAATAATAGGAGGACTTTTAAAAATAGAACCCAGAAGACTGGCTTCCTCCTGATGATACACACCTCAAATCACCTGGGGCAATGTGGATTAGGCACTGGAGCCTAGGTCTTGCAGTCTCCTAAAAAATGCTATTGGTGGGTCACAGATGTCATAGGCTTTGGCATCTCAGGCTTGAGCATTCTAGGCTCAATGCTGATGGTCAGGAGGCGCTGTGGACACCAGGCCTGTGTGTACTTGCCACTGAGGCTCACAAGGCCCTTCTGCACCAGAAACATCTCCTTCAAAGGGACACGGGGGTGGAAGGCTGCCCATCTTCAGCAATCCCCTGCCCTTGACACAGTCACTGCAGTTGTGAGGAGTGGTCAGGCAGGAAGGCTGGGGATACCAACTCAGAGCTCAGCAAAATAAGGCTTATAGATGCACAGGACAAAGATGTCCTGGATGCAATACCGATGTCCTGGCACTTCCTAACTCCTATGCTCGGTCCTCTGTCTATCTGAGGAGGTACTGGTGGAATCTGGCCTCTCTCAAAGGCAGGTACATGCTCCTCTCAGGAGAAATACCTGCCACCTGCAGCTGAGTGGTAGCTCATGTATCCACCCTGTCCATGGCTCACACACAGGCTCTGTGGCATCAATTGGAACAGAAGCAATCTCCCAACACCCTCCTTTGGTGAGTCTTAGCCTGAGGACTTGCAGAGTTGGGGCTCAGGAGGGAGAGTGGAGAGCAAACGCCTGTGTTTATCCTGGACAGGTGCAGAGGGCCTGCAACCTGAGCTGCCCTCTCACTCTACCTTCCCCCACATTAGCCAGTTCTCCAGGAAGCAACTCAACAGACCCAGCTCCCACCAGAGCCCCAGCAGCTTGCCAGAGGCAGGTGCTAGGTGTGGGGCCTTGCCCCCTCATGGATGTGGCACCTCCACCTTAGGAACGCATCAAGTACTTTTGTTCAGTTCAGCAACTCGGCCATGTCATCAACTTCCCAGCCTCAGATGTCTCGTCTATAAAATGAAACAGTGCAATCCACATCTGTGAGCATGCAAGTGTGGAAAAGCTGCTTGGCTGTTAGGCTTGTAGGCAGTGGGGCTGTGGGTGCAGTGAGAATGGCCTCCTGGCTGGAAGGCCTCCACCCTCACTCAGGGCCTCTACCCTACCTGGTAGCCACCACCCAAAGGCCTTCTGTCCCTCTTCTGGTTTTAGTTTCAGTATTATGGGACGCTCCCAGCTAAGAGGGGGACACTGAGAACAGAGGGTCCTTGGGGGATTGGCGGTGCGTGCGGAGAACAGGCTGAGACTATTCTGGGGGTGGCTGTGCTGACAATTCCTGGAATTTTGAGGCCCCAGTGTTGTGCTGTTCTCAGCAGCGCCTATCAGTGCTGACAGACTGTGCTGTTTATAGCCCTGCTGAAGGTCAGGCAACCATCTATCTATCTATCCAGTAGGGAGAGATACAAAACAGTCATAGCTGGGGACTCCATTCTTTGATGTGCCCCTAGCCAGGGCCCCCTGTGATGCAAAGCTGCCTCTGACCTCTTGGAGGCCCTGAAGAAAGAAGAGGAAAGAAGAAGAGGAAAGAAAGAGAGGAATGTTAAGTCCTGGAAAGAGGGGTGGCAGTCCTTTTAGGCCAAGGGCAACTACATGGACAGACCCTGGGCCAGCTGGTTGCTAGGTCTAAAGGAATGAAGGGAGATGCTGTGGAGTAGCACATGTGAGGAGTGCAGAGGGTAGGAGGGAACCCCCACTTGTGCAGACCTTCCAGCCCCCACTTCCAGTCTTCCCATTCCCAAATACAGCTTCTCCACCCTATAGGAACCAGGCTCCCATTCTCATGGGAACCATCTGAGGAGGCACGAAGTGGGCTTTGCTGGGTGTGTGGGACCAAAAGCATTGTTCTGGAAATGCCCAGGTCACAGGCAAAATTGTGGGCTTGGTCAGGAGTAATGGAGAGATACAGTGACTTGGCCTGGAAAGACAGGGGAGGAATGGTTAGCTAGAAAAGAACCGTGACACCTCTCTCACTCCCCGACTGTCCTTGACATAGCTCAGCCATTGGTATATTTGGAGGGTTGGGTGCCAAGGCCAAGTGGCTTAGTGTATAAGGATGGGAGATAGGGGAGCCAAGAACTGTGATCATTGGGGAACCCTGGGTGTGTAGAAGGGAGAGAAATGAAATGGAAGCGAGCAAGGCGGGGCATAGAAGACCCTGGTTTATTTATCCACCAGGGTTGGAGACAGAAGGTTCTGGAAAAAGGATGAGTACTGAGGCAAGGCCCCAAGGGAGGCCAGATGGGAGAGGAGCCAGCTCAGCACTGTGGTAATTTAATCATACAATGCTAAAATGCACTTAGGACTCCAGGGGAAGTGCCTGCCAGGGTTGGAAGGAGAAGCTGGGGAGGTTACTATCCTTTCAGAGCCCGTTACCTGCCCTCAGCCTGCCTGCCCCACCAAACCTGGCAAATCAAAGAGAAAGAAGGGCCTGTCTACTTCTGAGTATAAAGAGGGATACTAGAAACTTCTTTAGAGTTCAGCTGTCTTCAGAGAGGCTTTCAGCTGCTGTCCCTGCTGCCAGTGAGTTAGGGGGTCAGGAGACCATAGTATGGGAGCATTGGAACCCAGCACGGCACTTTGTTTCCCAAGGACCCTGGACATAAACCCTGCCATCCCCCAGGTCTCTGTAGAAACAGTGGGCTGGCTCAGGCCTAGTCAGTTGGGTCTAACTTCTCACCTCCCACCCTCTGCCAGCTCTGGGTCTTGTTTCTTGTGGAACCTTGGGGGTGCAGACATACTGACCACATACCTGCTGCCCCCCAATCCAGTCTTGACTCTTCCAGCTCTTCCGGGGAGAAGGGGTTTCGGGTCAGCACTTATGCTTCCTTTTTTTGGAGCTTCCCGGAAACTTTCTCAGCTCTGCACCGTCCTTATGCCATAGCCTGTTTAATAATGCAGTCCTTGCAATATGCCTGAGAGGGAAGGCATTGCCCTGCTCTCTGGACACTCACTGAAAGGTGTGAAGCTTCAACCAAAGAGGCTCAGGTCAACTCATTACAGCGTCTGCAGGCTTTCCATTGTTGCCTCCCTTATACGCATGCCCAAGTGGCTATGATGTCAGCTAACCTTGTGCCACCTCTGGGGTACCTTAGGATCAGGTCGAACAAAGTGTGAACCAGGTAGCTGATCTTGGCCATCAAACACCCAGAGTCTGTTCCCAACACTCTCACCCTGAGGCCTCCCTAGGCTTTGCTCAGTTTTGGGGTCCCCAGTGAGAAGTGGCTGTTGAGTAAAGACAACTGGAAAATGTGGTGGAAATGGAACACTTCCAAAGAGAATTTTAAATGCTCAAAGGGGTATGGAAAATATTTTTATTTTTAGAAAAATGTCTCCAAGAATTTGGGTACTTTGAGTCTTTTCTGAGACAAGTCAACAGAGAGAAAGAGATGGAGAGTCAAAGAAGAGATGTGTGAACTACACTTTTTATGAGCCCGAGGCTCTGAGCAATGATCTGAGGGTGCCAGTCCCCTCTTCCAATCAGCTAAGGCTGTTCCTGTAGTTGAGGGAAGTGATCCAATGGTCCTTGGCTGCCTTTAGGGTCCCTGCCTCCTTCCAGCCTTCTTCTCTAAGGACAATTTGGGCAGAGTAGAGTACCACTTGGGCAGAATAGAGAATACAAGAAGTTATCTGTACCCCACCCCCCACTCAAAGGACATTGGGCTCTACCCAGGGCAGCCAAAGGCCAGGCCAGCTGAACCCTGATGGGCAGACACAGGCGCAAGGAGAGAGGCGCCAGGGACAGGGGGATCCAGCTTGGTGGATCCCCTCTGAGGTGTTTGGCTACTGACCAGACCCCAGGGAGACTGAATTTCCCCGTGAGCAAAAATCACCCCAGCCCACGCCTGAGGATGAGAGGGAGCCAGGCAGAACCGGGCCCAGGGAAGAATAAGCACAAGTTGGCTATGTCCAAGGGAGAAATATGTCACCAGGCAGCTCTAAAGGCAAGGCGTTCCCAATGGCCTGCAGCTGGCACTAGCTGATTGGCCCAACCTCCTTTGGATGTCATTCTGGTGCCCTTGCCTACCCTGTCATCATGATCTAAGCACTCCCATCCTTCCTGACAGTATCTTTTCTTGGGGGTATAGCTCCACCCTTCTATGTGGGATTGGCAGCTGCTTCCCTACCCCACTCCAACCTGTCAGCTGCAGGGAACAATCCCTTCTCTATAGATGACTAGAAGCATCTGAGGCAGGGGCTGGAGAGATGGCTCAGCAGTTGAGAGCACTGGCTACTCTTCCAGAGAACCCAGGTTCAATTCCCAGGACCCACATAGCAGCTAACAACCATCCATAACTCCAGTTCCAAGGGATCCAATGCCTTCTTCTAGCCTCCAAGAGGCACTGTACACCTATGGTTCACGTGCATATATACAGGCCAAACACTCATACACATAAAATAAAAACAAATAAATTTAAAAAGAAGCATCTGGGGGTGTCCTTCTGTAGGGATATGTTGTATGAGGGGCATCTTAAGGGGTGACCTACCATAGGGTAGCTCTACTATGCAGTATCTTTCCATAGAGATGTTCTGCCACAGGGGCAACTTGCTGTGGGAGCTCATGGGCAGTCTACTAGGACAGCAGGACATTGCAAGCTTTAATCTAGATATGGACATTAGTGTTTTCAGCTTTCTTTGAAGTGCTTCCAAAGTAAGATGAATTGATGGATGGTTAACAGTGTGATATATGTATGATAAAGTGGAAGATGGGATGTTATGATTGGACAATACTGATGAGAATTGGGAATTCATGTTTTTCAGTTTGAAAATGTCTATAATGAGTTGTTAGAGATAGCACAGCCCTACATAGAAAGGCAGGAGGGCAAGTGGATTTTATTCTGCAGGGAAGCCTACCAAATGGGCAGTCCAGTTGCCTTCAGGAGGCCTCTTTTGGTCTAGGAAAATTTTGTTGTTCTTTCATTGTCACTAGTGTGTGTGTGTGTGTGTGTGTGTGCGTGTGTGTGTGTGTGTATGTGTATACGCGTACACATGTGTGTAAAGGCCAGAGAAACTTTGGGTATTGTACCTCATGACTTATCCACCTTATTTTTTGAGATAGGGTTTCTCATTGGCCTGAGGCTCACCAATTCATCTAGTAGACTGACTGGCCAGTGAGGCCTAAGGATCCATCAGTCTCTGACTTCCCAGCACTGGGATTACAAATGCATGCCATCATGCTTGGCTTTTAACATGAGTGCTGGGGATCAAACTTGGGTCCTGCTTGCACAGCAAGCATTTAACACACTGAGCCATCTCCCTAGTCCCTGTCACTATTTTTTACCTTTTTTTTTAACCTCTGTACTCAAGACAGCAACGCATTCCTGTTAGTACTGGGGATAAGGGTAGTTCTAAGATTCCCCTATGGCATCTGGTTAGTGGACTGGACTTTGAAAGTCAGACATGTCTTCTTGGCCAGCAAGACATTTATTTCTCTATTGTCCTTGCTTGGCCAGATTTGGGATCTTCAAGAGGGTAGAAAATGACCAGTGCTTAAGAAGCCACCTGGGAGTGCAAAGGCTGGGCAACAGCAGTTCTCAAGAGTGGGCTCTTTTGGTCTTATTGTCATCACCCACAATGATATAAGACAGCGTTTCTGGGACAAGTGATGTGGTTACAAATAAATTGTTCGGTTCCTGGGCACTCTCTGTACAGCCCCTCTGGATTGGAGACAGATGACTTCAGGACACCCTATTGTGTAGATAGTTTCCTGTAGGGGGCTTATCAGGAGGCTTCCATCCACGTCTGCAAGCCCAGGACTTGGTCAGCAGACCACACAGACTTGGTCCACAAAGCATAGGACTGTCTCCAGGTCATTTGTGGTCATTTGTGGTCTGCGATGGTTCCCAGGCCTAGGTCAGAATCTGGCTTCTGCCCCTGTGTTATAGCTAGGGAGGTGACTGAGATATGCCCAGAGAAGCCAGGAGAGCTAGCTGGTGTGCATGTAGGGAGGCAAAGCTAAAGGATACCCTCTAGCCATAGCCTGGGGAGCTTACAACCTTCTCTTCCCTGTAATGTTGTTGGTGACAAGGCTTGAGTGGCATTCCATGTGGTATCATGAGAGGGACCTGCAGCATGGTATCATAAGGATCAGGTCTAAAATCGTTCTATGTAATATCATCAGAGACTGAAGTATTCCACAGGAAGCTGTAAGAGTTAAAACTTGTTTCCTCTAGTAACATCTCCTGAGATGTTCTTAGGAGTAGGGCTGCTAAATGTCACTAGGTGTGCTAATGGCACTATTAAGCCACTCTAGGTAATGTCATTAGACCCTCTGGAATGCTGTATCTCAGGTGATATCACTGTTGGTAGGGTAGCCACAGCACTCAAAGTACTATTACTGAGGGGCTACCATGCAAAATTTGGTATTATGTATGATGCCACCTAGAGTTCAGTCTTAGCCACCATGGCTTCCCAAGTGTAGCTTTCCTGACATCCCATGTAGTGGGTCCAGAATGGAGTCTCAATGGCATTCTGTATGGTCACTCTAAAGATAGGGCCTCCAGACCGTAACATTCCATGACATCATTAGCACAGGATTTAGGACTAGCTCCACACCTCTACTCCCCCTTCGAGAGATGTGGAAGGTAGCCAGAGAGCCCTAAGCCCTCATTTCACAGCCTGCCTTGCATACCCAGGCAAGGCTGATGGCTCCTTTACTCCTCTGCACACCTGCCATGGTAGCATGAAATACCTGGTGCTTGAATGCTTTTGTGTGCATACATTTATCCTACCCTTTTGTCTAGAGTATCTGGGAAATGTGCTAATTTTGACCTCTATGTCTTAACAAGGTACAGGAGTAATAGGTTAATCAGTGCAAAAACCAGCCCCCAAATATCAATGGCTTAGCACAGTGGAAGAAGTTTATTTCTCACTTAGACAACTTGGCATACCGTCTCTACCCCAGGCAGTGACTCCGGGTTCTAAGTCAATTTAGTTGTTCTCCTCTCCATCCTATGCATTTAGTAAGTCAATAAGTGGTATGCAGAATCCTAGGGATATTACTAGGGGAAGACCTGGCAGAGGTATATATTGCTTTCACCTTTATTCCAGTGGCCAAAGTCGGCCTCCTGACCATTGTCAAAAAGAACTAGGGCAGCTGGAGAGATGGTTCAGTGGTTAAGAGCACTCATTGCTCTTGCAGAAGACCCAGGTTCAGTTCCCAGCACCCACCTGGCAACTGTAACTAACAACCATCTGTAACTCTAGTTCTAGGGAGGTCCTAGGCCCTCTTCTGACCTCTGTGGGTATTGGATTACATAGATGCACTTACATACCTGCAGGCAATACACTTAGAGACATAAAATAAAAATAATAAATGAAAAAATATTTTTAAAGTACTAGGAAATGGTGGCCGTATGGCAGGAAAACAAAGCAGGTTTGTAACACCCAGTTCTGGCCATCATAAATGAAAGAGAGGCTGGGTCCAGGTGATCCTTCCATAATCTACTCCCTCTTTTGTTCTTTAATCAGATCACACCAGGCAGCAAGGCGGCCCAGTCCCAGCTCAGCCAAGGAGACCTTGTGGTGGCCATCGATGGTGTTAACACAGACACCATGACCCACCTGGAGGCCCAGAACAAGATCAAGTCTGCCAGCTACAACCTGAGCCTCACCTTGCAGAAGTAAGTAGAAGCTCCAAAGCAAGAACCGAGGTTCCATGTGGGCATGCAATGGGGGTAAAAGAAAGATGGTCCCCAGCATTTCAGGGGCCCATCTCTGTGCTACAGAATAATTACTGTCAAGTTATCACTGCCTCACTTTATAGAAGAGACTCAGTCAGCGAGGGTGGCCATAGTGCCACCAGTACATGCTTGGTTGGTCCTGGAAACCAGGATTTCTTTCTGCTTCCTTTTTCCCCAGGCAGTCACCCCCTGGCCCCCCAAGAACACAGAAGAGGCCTATGGGTGTTGACCAGGATGCCAAAGGGCTATGACTTCTCTATCCTGGTCAAGCCCAGTGCCTCCCTGAAGAGACCTAATGCATGGGGTAGACAGCAGCACATCATGGGCCCTGTGACCTCACTCTGCAGGAACACCTGATCAGATGCAGGTGTCCTCAGTGAGTCCCATTTCTGGTTCCTTCAGGTCCAAGCGTCCTATTGCCATTTCCACAGCGGCACCATCAATCCAGTCCCCACTGCCGGTGATCCCCCACCAGAAGGTAAGTGCTGGCTATTGGCAGTGGGGTCCACTCAGCCATGGTTCCTGATGTGCAGCCCTGCCTGCCCGCCCCTGCCCTTGCCACTGTTGACCCTCAGGAGAGGCATTTGAGCCTCCCCATGACACATTGAGTTGTGGTTGCCTGCCTGGGCCCCAGACAACAACACCAGGCCCAGGGGCTTTTCTGTGAAGAAACCAGCTTGGGAAGCTGTGTGTTGAGAAGAGGACTGACATTCTGGCTAGACAGGAGACAAGTTATCTAGAAAGTTCTAACCCTTATTGTGTGGGGACACCAAGACCGAGCTTGCTATAAGAGGCCCCAACTTGAACCAACCACCCCAGAAGGCACTCCCAGGTGTGAAGAGGCCTTACTAGTCCTCATGAGTTCTCCTCCACACAGACTCTTCTAGTTTCCAAGTGTGTACTCACCCCTTCCTTCAGTGCACCCCTAAGTTTGTTAGAGGCAGGCACAGAGGGAGGGGACAGCAGAGTCGTAGCCCCAGATCTCACTACTAGACCCAGGGCCCCTTCCAAACTCTCTCTAAGGCAGCTGAACTGTGGCCCAAGGGTATAAGCCAATGCTGGGGAGGCCCAACAACTATTACTCTACCCATTCCCCATGATTATAGACTGACCTCTGTCTGTCTATTGGGGCAGATTGGGCAGCAGGGAAGATGGGGAGAAGAGGCTCACAGGGGTCATAGATTGAGGAACTGGACAGTAGGCTGCTGGGAGAAATTGAAAAGGCTGATAGAAAAGACCAAATGGTCCACCTTCCTCCTCAGCTTTTCCTTCTGCAACTCTACCCTAAATGTCCAGTCACACTGGTTGTGAAAGGTCTTCTCCATGGAGGCCAGTACAGCAGGAGGTGGGTCTGCACTCACAGGGTACCTCTTCTCAAAAAAAAGGTGGAAAACAGATGGGATGGCAGTGCCCTTACTATCTCGAGCCTCCTTCCTCCTTTCTTGGCACTCAGGGGCAGGTTTGGCTTTCTGTAAGGGTTTTTGTGTTCTGTCCAGATGGATGCCAGTCTCTGAGCCAAGAGTCACGGGCCTTCCTCCCCCACTTCTCTCCACTAAGCCTTTCCAGTGCCATCTGGGTGCCTCAGGCAGCAGGCTGTAGGCAGTGGGTGGTGAACTATGGGTTGCAGGTGCTCGCACTAACACATCTGTTTCAAGTCCACACAGAACCATGGTCATATGTGGCCTCTAATCACTGTCTTCTCTCTCCTGCATGGTGATGCCCTATGCCAGGACCCTGCTCTGGACACGAACGGCAGCCTGGCGACTCCCAGCCCCAGCCCTGAGGCAAGGGCCAGCCCGGGCACCCTGGGCACCCTGGAGCTTGGGGGCACCTTTAGCTCCTCCTTCTCCCAGACCTCTGTCTGCTCCTCACACATGGAGGCCTTGGATCCTGGCCTTCCACAGGACAGCTCAGTGGCCAAGGCTAGCCCAGAGAATGCACGGGGCCCACTCAGGCCCAAAGTTCTGCCAGGCCCAGGCCAGCCGAGGCAATATAACAACCCCATTGGCCTGTACTCGGCAGAGACCCTGAGGGAGATGGCTCAGATGTATCAGATGAGCCTCCAAGGGAAGGCCTCAGGTGCTGGACTCCTAGGAGGGTAGGTAAAGAGCACCCTGCTCAACATAGGTGGTCTGGAGCCACCTGGGTCCTTGGTGCTCACTTTAGAGGCCTGGTCAGGTGGTTTGGGGGGGGGGGTTGGAAGAAACAGGTCTCAACCCAGCTAGGCCTGCACCTATGAGGTGACATGGGCTGAAAGCCACACCAGCAGGGATCCTATTGAAGATTTCTAGGAGCCAAGCACATCACTGCCTTTGTACAACCACCCTGGGATGACAGGTCAGCTTTTTGCAGCAGTGGAAACTGAGGCTCAGAAAAGGTTAAGGTGAGGTCCACTTGTCCAGCTGCCAAGGTGGCTGAGCATGGCCTATATGCAAGAGACTCTGACTTTCCAAATTTTCCCCAGGCTATACCCTATCTCATAGAACCATACAGCCTGCTGATTTTGAGAGCTGTGTGGGCCTAAGAGACAAGTCAGTTCCCATATCCCTGGAACCCCTGAGGCAGGAACGGAGAAGAGCTAGAGGTGAGAGGGAGTAGTCTAGGAAGGCTACCTGGAGGAGGGAGCATTGGGGCCATCCATGGGGAGATGAAAATGATGTGAGGGGAAGTCAGTACCCATATCCCTGGAACCCCTGAGGCAGGAACGGAGAAGAGGAGGGAGCATTGGGGCCATCCATGGGGAGATGAAAATGATGTGAGGGGAGGAGGCTTGCAGGACTGATCCAGGCCAGGTTAGGCAGCAAGAAAACAGGACTCTAAGGAGGAAAGTGCTGTGGAGAACAGCAATTCATTTCTGGTCCCCATAGTCTAGTTAGTAGGACTCTATGAGCACAGGAGTTGGAAGAACATGGCGCATTGTACAGGGATGGAGGGCAGGGAGCCCCACAGTGAGTGTGTATCAGCCACAAGGCCCTTCTCCCCTCTTGTCTCACTGTAACTCTGCTACCTCCCTAAGCTTTGAGTGTGCTCATCTTTGGGTGCTAAAGGCACAGCAGGCTGAGTGAAGGCAGTGTAGCCTAGTGGCTCAGCGAGAAGAATCACACTGGCCTTGTCTCAGGATCATTGGAAGGATAAGGGCAATGTGTGAAGTGCTGTTTGTTACACACTCACTACTTGGTACACATTGCCTGGAGTCCTGCAGCTAATATTCAGAAGAGTTAGCCTAGGAGCCTCATCAACCTGGCCCCAGCCACTCCTTCTCTTTGCCTTTCTTGTGGCCACCAGGTCAGAGCTCTCTGGACCTTCCAGTTTGCCCAGTTCCTTCTGGAAGCTGACCAAAGCTAGCCCCTGACATGCCATGACTTCCCAAGCCAAGGTTGTAGGTGTACACACACACACACACACACACACACACACACACATACATACACACAGCTTTCCCAGCAGGAGGCCAGAAAATCAGAAAATTGACAGATTAAAAATGGTTCCATTTTCCTACCCCTGATGGGACCACCTTTTGGAACCTGCCCTGGACAGGAAGATTGTCCTCTGGTAGACTAGGACCCCTGGAAGGCCCACCTGCATTGATAGCAATGCCTTCCCTGGCTGAGTTGACTCTGAGCTGGGACTGGCTTTGTTTGTCAAGAACTTGAGAGGTGGACATTGATTTCTCCCATCTTCACAGCTCAGATAAAGTAACTGGTCCAAGGTCACACAGCTAGCAAGTGGCAGACAGGACTGGCATTCCAATACCTGATTCTATCTTGATTTGAGATGGGATGTAGACGGTCAGGAGCTAGCTCCGCCCACACCTCTCTCAAAGCCCAGGTGCCATGGCCTTGGTACAGATGCTGTCCAGGACCTGGAAAATGTGTTAATGATTATGTGACAACCAGAGAAGCAGAATCCAACAGTATCCTCCGTGGGAAGATGGCTCAGGGGAGTTGGTGAGGTTGGGGTTTCCTTCAAAGTAAAAGCCAATGCTGCCGTCCCCAGGACAGTGTACGTAGAAAAGGCTCCAAGTATTTAGCTTGAAGGCAACAGAGCTGGCAAATTCTCCAAATCCACCCATTGCACGCATCCTGTGCTAAGGGCTTAGCTAAGGGTTTCATTTACTCTGCATAAGCCATCTGCATGGTGGGCACCCCCATTTCCTTTTTAATGAATAGGACTAAGATAGAGGAACTTGTGCAGTCTCAGTGCTAGGAAGAGGCAGAGTCAGGAATTGATCTCTGTCTTATCCATCCTTCAAAGGGAGCCTCTTCTTGACTCCTCTGAGCAGCTTGTTGTATGATTCTTGGCAGCTGATATCTCTTGGGAAAAGTGAAGGGAAATCTGTGCAGGGAAAAGACCAGCAGGCCTGAGCATCCCACAGCTCCTCTCCTTATTTGTCTGAGTCTGGCACTGAAAGGCAGCCTTCGTAGGTCACATGATGCAAGGGCCACTGGGAAGGTACTGCATCCCCAGCACCTCCTCCCTGAGGGCACTGGCTCCTTTCTATGTGGCAGGCATCCCAAGTTTGGGATGAAGCAAGGACCCAGCAGGGGGCAGGAATCAGTGCCAAAGGAGCTAGATGTTGCATAGGGCACAGGCAGCCCCACCCTATCAGGCCAACACTGCCCTCTGCAGGGGACATTGGGCTGGTAAGGGCAAGAGTTGATCCTGCAGCTGTCAGCAGTGGCCAAACATGGAGAAGAAACGGCAACTCCAAGTGGCCCTTTCCTAATATAGTTCCACTTGTGGCTATTTTAAGCGTGGGAGGACAGAGGAAATTTTATCAGCTCTGACACAGTAGGAGCCTGGGACTGAACAGGTTCACCATAGGTTCCAGGGGGTGGGGAGTTCCTGGCGTCCTAGAATCCTGGTTGTGAGGTGACCAGGGCCAGGTCATCTGGGGCTCAGGCTCCCCTATCCAGAGTCCATAGTGGGCAGATCCAGGAAGTTGAAAATATTTGGAGAGTCCACTTCCCTCCATGTATCAGACAGGGCTGTGGGATTTGCCACTACAGGAGATTTGCATTTAAAGAACCATGATTTGGATAATGCCTCTCCCAAAAAGATCAGGTTCCAAGGGGCTTATTGCCATATTAGAATGAGCACACTGTCCCTCTGTGCCACCCCACGCACCCCAGGCTGTCCCTGCTGGGGCTTTCCCACAGCAAGCATTGGACACACACTCCTTTTGGGCCTCCACTCCTCACTCTCCCCTCATTGCTGGCCCACAGGACCTTTAGGAATAGTCACTGGGAATTTCGCCGACCCCTACCCCCTGCCCCAGGAGGAGTGGCCAGGACTGTCTGCTTCTCCTTCGGGAGGGAGAATAGTGGCAAGGAGTAACCCTGTTGTTGCACACGGCACCACTGCAAAGCTGCTTCAGGGAGTGAACTCCTGATCCACCCCATAAACAGAGCTAATCCAGATGTTCACCTTTGGAACATCTGGCCAGAAGCAACTTGGGGCCTCAGCCCTTGAAGTAGCCACAGTAGTCCTGTCTCCATTTCAGCTTCCTCTCCGGGGTCTTCACTAGACTGTGTGCCTATGATCTATGTACAATGCTGGGTGTGCCAGCAAGGAAGTGCTGCAGTATTGGCATCTCCAATTCAAACTGAGGGTTCTGGAAGCCATCATTTCTGGTTCCATGCGCTCTCCTTCCTCACTCCTTACTCTTCACCTAGTGTGGTTCACCTGGTTCTGCCCCCTTCACGACCTATCTGAAGATGGTCCCAGCATTTGAACCTTCCCAGTAGTAGCCTCACTCTGACACTCTGTCTTCTTTGCTTTCTCTCTCTTCCCCAGGTGGTAGCCAATTCTCCAGCCAAGTTAGTATCCAAGGACAGCATGTGTGTGCCCCTGCGTGCCATCCCAGCATGCACCTGCCATCTGTTGGGTGTAGATGGTGTGTGCCTGTCGGCATGTGTACATGTGTGCATGCGTGAGTGGGGTTGTACTGTGCTCTGGATGAGCCTGCACAGGTTTTTGGTAGAGTATGGAGTGAAGATATTACAAGGGCTGGTCTCAGTTTTGCTCCCAATGTTCTGCTCCAGCTGCTTAAGGCTTGCAGGCTGACACGGGTTGGAGGGGGGAGATGCTGCGCTGTCACTGGCCTGTGTGGGCCTAAAGACCTCTCTGTCCCTTTGGGACCCCCTGAGAAAGACTGCACTTGATTGTGTTTCTGCCTGGGCGTGCATCTATCTGTTGAGCGGAAGAGCCCTGGATGGGTAGAGGCTGGCAGGCTACAGTGAGCTGGAGTGAGAGGCCTGGGAAGCTCGAGTTATACTCCAAAGAAGAAGCACATGTATAGAAGCATCAAGAAGAACAGAGCCCAAGGCCACAGAAAGCCGGCTGGCAGGATGAGCCCCTTCATGGAGGAACCTTGCACAGAATCTCAGAATTCCCGAGGGTGCCCAGTGTGACTGCTTTTCGCCTTTGGAACGTTCTGGACTCTGCTTGTGCTGCTGTTGCCTGTCACGTGGCCCAGCTCCTGTCCTCTCCCCAAGTCCCACTCCCCTAAGCCCTCTTGTGTCTGCTTCTCTACCCTGCTGTGTGTGATGGGAGCCTGCACCATGTCTGGTGCTCCCTGGGACAGGTCAGCATACCTGCTGACACGGAGAGATAGTTCAGGCTGAGCTGGAGCCTGGAGGGGATCTAAAAAGTTTATTATGATAAACATAAAAAAGTCTTTTGCACAGGGCCTTGGGAGGTGCCAAGGATTTTCCTGGCCACACCTAGAAATCCCATTGTAGGGGGAGCTTGGGTAACCTACTTAGGTCAAGACCTCAACTTTGGGAGTTCTCTTTCCATACTCCCACCAGCAGGCCTGGCCTTGATTTCCCATGTAACCACCACCTGTTACCCTCTCTCTTCTCCTTCCCTCCTCCACCCAACCCTGCCCTTCATATGCCTACCCCCCTCAGCGCCGACTACCAGGAACGCTTCAACCCCAGTGTCCTGAAGGACTCAGCCCTGTCCACCCACAAGCCCATTGAGGTGAAGGGGCTGGGAGGCAAGGCCACCATCATCCATGCCCAGTACAACACACCCATCAGCATGTACTCCCAAGACGCCATCATGGATGCCATCGCCGGGCAGGCCCAGGCCCAGGGCAGTGACTTCAGTGGGTAAGCGCCTCCCTGCTCCACATGCCTACGGAGGCCATTGGGCATCAACAGGACCGGTTTTCTTTTCTCACCTTGAGCCTCTGGGTGCAGACCCCTGGAGGAGGGTCAGCCTTCACCAGGGACTTCCAGAATATGTTGCCCTTTCTCTTCAGAGCTGATTCTACATTAAGCTGTAGGAGAAAGCAAAATGCAGAATGCTGTGTTTTCTCAAAGGGATTTACACGGCCTTGGCATTTCCCGGGCTTCATGAAGAGGGCACTTGTTAGAGACTTTTCTAGTTCTTTTAAAGGAGCACTGGAGACCCCAATGCTCTCATGACAAAACCATACTTGGCGGGGGGGGGAGTGGTTTCATTCTTCCAGCGATGAGTATTAATACAGGTATTTGGTGTGTTTGTTGTTGGAAGAGGGATCGGACGAATCATCGAAGGTGCTATTGAAGTCAGCCCCACTGATGGGCACGTCTCTCTTCTTCTTTACTGAGGAATCCTAGCCTCAGAGCAGTAGGATTTAAAATATCCTGGGTTCCTCTGTTTGCTCTGCTAGCTTGGGTGGGGAACGTGAGGGCGGGCTAGGGACAAAGTCAAAACTCATAGATGAAACTGCTAGTGTTTCAGGCATTAGTGGGACCATTCTGTTTCTCTTATCTTCTGTCTCTCGCTTTCTGTCTCTGTGTCTTTCTTTCTATGTGTAGCTCTCATCTCTCCCTCTTTTTTCTCTGTGTCTTTCTGTCTCTTTTCCCTTACCTTCTTTTCTATTATTGTTTCTGTCTCTCATCTTTTTTCCTACACACACACACACACACACACACACACACGAGAGAGAGAGAGAGAGAGAGAGAGATTGTCTTACTGTTTTCTGCTTGGGGATACCATAGTGTTGACCTATAACACTGACTTTCCTCTTTAGACAACATATTATCCAGGGATAGTATGGTCAGAGATTCCTAGCAACTCAGGAGAAAAAGTCTTGAGATGCCAGTTAAACTTTTTTTCTGAAGCTATAAAACAAGATGTTATAAGAGGGATACAGTATTTAAAAGTCCTAGGCAGTTCCTGTACAGCTTGGCTTTTACATGGCCCAGCTCTTGTGACCATGATGTACACACCAATCCTGAGCTCTCCTGGGTTCTGGGGAGCCTGTTCCCACTGCTCAGAGATGCATTGCTTCCCATGAACCACCAGGGGGCAGAGGTTGCCTGCTCTGAAGCCACTAGTCTCAAACCCGTAACTCACAACTGCAGCTCGTTATAGACCTCTGGGCAGTCAGTGTTGCTTTATTTAAATCAATCACTCAAAGGGAAAAAA